TATTTATTTATTTATTTTTTTAAACATAATTTCAGATTATTGTCCTGTATCATTCTTTGTTAAAATTAACAGAATCGTATACTTTCACATTTTTGGGCTCAAATTGCATAATTTCAAAATGTTTCTTTCATAAAACGACGGGGATAGGCTAATGGGCTGTTCTGTGCTTCTCATGTACTTAAACTAACATTTCTTTATCGGATGGCGCCACTGGTTGTGACACATCTTTTCTATCCTCTCCTTGCCTCTGTCAGTCTGCTTAGCCCCCCCCCTCCCCCCCAAACCGCGACCCGCTAAATGACCAATTTATTGTGTCGATCAATGTGCTTTCATTTACCTGAACTGAATGACTGATGCTTTGCCAGCGTGCCTCTTGGTTAATCAAAACTCCCAATGTTAGACCGGATAAAGCGGGCATTTCCTTCTTTGCTCGCTGGGAGGAGAGAAAGGGAAGGGAGGGCGGGAGATGCCTTGTGGGTTCAACTTTTTAAAAATTAATTGTTGCTTCCTTTTCTTGCTTTGAAATTCATTCAGTTGCGGGTACATGTAGTTGGAGAACGCCGCTGGTCAGTCTTATTTCTTTTCCTTCCTTTCTATTGTTTGTGTCTGCCCGCCTAACATTTTCCCGTCACTGATTCGATGTGCTTCTGTTTACACTGACAAAGACGATGAGTACATTCACGTAGCACTCAACGAACTCACACTTTCTTTTTATCGCATTTTCCTGTTATTGGCTTGATGTGCTTCTATTTACACAAACAAAGACCTAGGCCTGTAAGTGCTTTCACGTAGTAATCAACGAACTCACCTTCTTAGAGTGCGCTTCCCTGTTATTGAGTTGATGTATTTCTCTTTACACAAACAAAACCTACATAAGCCTTTCACGTAGCACTCAACGAACTCTCACTCTTTTATACTGCATTTTTTTCAGCTATTGAGTTGATCTGCTTCTCTGTACTCAATTATAAATACTTTCACCTAATGCCCAACGAACTCACACTTTGTTAGTCATTGCATTTTCCCGTTATTGAGTTGATGTGTTTCTCTTTACAAAAACAAAGATCAATGCGTACTTTCACGTAGTACTCAACGAACTCGAACTTCCTATTTTTTCATTTTCTGTTTATAGAATTGATGTGCTTCTCTTTGCACAAACAAAGACCTCCTATAAGTAATGTACTTTCACCTAACACTCAACGAGCTCACACTTCTTTTTATATATTGCATTTTTGCGTTTTTTGAGTTGATGCGCTTCTCTTTACACAAACGAATACCTACATAAGACTTTTATGTAGTACTCAACGAACTCACACTTTCATATATTGCATTTTCCCGTTATTGAGTTGATATGCTTCTCTTCAACGAACTCACACTTTCTTGCTTCTCTTCAACGAACTTACACTTTCTCACGTTGTTTTTTTCTTCCCCAGTGGGAGAAACTGGAGATGACGTCCGCGGAGCGCCGCAAGATCGCGTGCTCGGTGACGTTCCACATCATCGCCATCACCTGCGTCATCTGGTCGCTCTACGTGCTCATCGACCGCACCACGGAGGAGGTGCACTCGGGCACGCTCGACTGGCCCTTCTGGACCAAGCTGATCGTGGTGGCCATCGGCTTCACCGGCGGCCTGGTCTTCATGTACGTGCAGTGCAAGATGTACGTACAGCTGTGCCTGCGGTGGCGCGCCTTCAACAAGCTCATCAACATCGAGAACGCGCCCGAGGACCCGACCTTGAGGGCTGAGGCGGCCGCGAGGATCAAGGCCAGGACCAACGAGCAGGGAGGTCAGGTCAATGCCGTGGCTTTGCAGGAGGTCGACTCGCTATAATGAAACTTGCAAGGGGGCTAGACAGCTTTCCTGAAGGTCGACTCGCTATAATGAAACTTGCAAGGGCCCTAGACAGCTTTCCTGAAGGTTGACTCGCTATAGCAACACGAGTAGACTATTGAAGCTTGCGAAGGACTAGACGGCTTTCCTGGAAGTTGACTCACTATAATGAAACTTTCAAGGGGGCTAGACGGCTTTCCTGGAGGTTGATTCGCTATAATGACACGCTATAATGAAGCTTGCAAAGGGCTAGATGGCTTTCTTGGAAATTGACTCACTGTAATGAAGTTTGCAGCATGGGGCTAGATGACTTTCCAAGAAGTCAACTCGCCACTGTAATGATTCGAGTGGGTTATTGAAGCTTGAAAGGGAATAGATAGCTTTCCAAGAAGTTGACTCGCTACTATAATGACTGGAGTGGATTATTGAATTGCAGTGCTGCATGCTATAATGACACAAGTAGACTATTGAAGCTCACAAGGGCCTTGATTGGTTGAAAAATAGCGAGAACATTGGCAGTAATACCCTCAACACAAGAAATATACGCTTTAACTGTATTAAAAGCCCCACTTGACAAGAAATGTACAGTATATATATATATATATACAAATTCTAAACAGTTGTTTTAAAAGACCCGGTACAAGAAATGTACCAATTTCTCGTGTTGGGGCTTTTACTACAACTTATTAGTGATTTTGATCATGACACGTGGTGCTGGACTTCGTTCTAGGTGTCCAAAAGGTTATTGTGTCTATTGTACCATGTATACTGAAGAGGAACTTGGCATTTCTTGAGCCTCGACAATGAAGAATACTATACAAGACAGCTATCAGGCGGTCATTATACTACGAAATCGTTCTTTGCTGTCTACTTACGTGAAGTGCACGGAATAGCTTCAAGGTAGTCATTGAGTGCAGTTTTACTGGGCAGCCTCTCTGCAGTGGTTCAGTGTGGTATACAGGAGTGAAATACAACCTGCCAGTTAGTCAGTATTGTGTTACGGACTGGTGTTGCCTTTTTTTCTAATAACAAACACCACCGGACCTTTGTTGAAATAACTTAAAGTAATTGCTACGTGAAGAAATAAATTCTCTTCCATCGATCTGAAGATAATCAATATCTGGTATTAATTTATTTGTAAGACAGCAGTTGAGCTTGTAAGAGAACATAAGATTATACAATGTATATTATTGATCTCCACAAAGAAAAATTTTGCTGCGGCATGGTAAATACATGCTTACACACGTCAACACACGCATGCAGACACCCAACCACCCACCCTCCCACACACATGCACACACACACAAACACACACACACACACACACACACACACACACACACACACACACACACACAGCATGCTATCAATAGTCAGTGGATGAACATACAGCTGTATGAAGAAGTGGCAGTAGGAACAGAAGAGAAGGTCCACTGAACATTTTGGGATTCCTGCGTGCACCAAATTTGATGGCAGTATACTATACTTTCAAGGAAAATGGTATTAGTTTCTGGTGCTTATACTTACCACACAGTCGCTTGCACTGCCCACCTATCAAACCATGTCAATGTAAGAGTTGTACTGTGGTCATGAACTGTCTCGTACATCTCCTTCACACAGAAGCATTACATTCTGGTATGCATGTAAAAATCTGTTAGCCAGGCGGAGGACGTTTTAAGAGGCCCATTTACTGTTAATGTATGTTCTACATGTTTTCCCTATTTCTGTGATTCAATCTACAGGGCATTCTTCATGTTGCTACTATTATCGTGCTCAAGGGAGAGAAACGTGGTAGGTGAAGGAATGTGTTTTGCCTTCCCACCACCTACTCGTGATTATTGAATCAAAACTAGATTGACATGGGAATTTTGTAGCATTGTGCATGCAGGATACTGAAGCTACTATTGGACATCTGCGTTGGTGGGAGCAGAGAGTTCTATGTTCTGGCATGCTTGGGAGTGACAACAATATCGACTATTGTGAAGTAGATACCGTCAAAATTGTCGAATACGGCCACCCTTTGTCGAGGAGAAAAGTAACCACGTCTGATACAGGTGGACGTCTTGCACAGTGTCATTATAAAGCAAAAAAAGACACAAGAAGGGAATGAAAAGTGGCCTTTTGTGCAGGTGATTGTCTTATATTGGTGATCTTTAGAGCATGTTTGGCTGTACTTGAAGGTGCAGAGCAGACTGGAAGCCACTGACGCGATTTCTTTGAGGATGGTCATGAGAAAAGGAGGCTTGTGGACTGTTGCTGGCTGGGATGTGTATTACAATTGATGATATTGAATGATATCCATACATGATATTCTGGTTGTGGATTTGTGATGAATGTTATCGACAACTTTACTAGATTAGATGATGTGACTTTTATGGTGCTGTTTTGTTGTGGGTGTTGTTTTTCCAACAACCTTTTCAATGATGTCAAAAGATGTGGGGATACAGGCAAAGTGATCCGTTATCAAACAGTGTTCATGTGCTTTGCCGTCTACGAGTTCAGAGCCTATTGTTGTATACCCTACCCTGACTCCTACCACAGTCTAGCTTGCAAAAAGTAATTTACAACCTAAAATTTAATGACCACAGAGTTGTTGAACCCCATCAGCACTTTTTTTTTTATTGTGGTGGAGTGATGTTGGAAATGGTTGTGAAACTTCTGTTTTCATAAAAAGTTAAACGTGGGTACTAACTCTCACAAAATGTGGTGCGTGATGTACAAGTTAAATCTCTGTACTGCTCATTGATTGCCCGAAGTGATGGAAGTCCCCCTGGTTTGTCAGATACTGCCCAATATCTTCATTGTCGCTCTTAGTTATAATATATATCTCACAACACGAACTTACATATATATATATATATTTATATGAGAATGTATTGCATTAAATACCTTGTTGATGTGTATATAAAGGAGAATTTCCATCTAATTCGCCATCTGTTGCACCACTTACTTCTACCACGAAGTCAAGAGACTGGGCCTTAGTTTTTCTCATGAGCAATCCAGCAGTGTTACAACTCACAGTTTGAATAGTTATTCCTGTGCTGTTTCTTTTTTCAGCTCTTACATACAATTATTTTTACCTCTCCATCACCCCATCCCTTTCCATTCTACTTACACGGTGAAACCATCTGAAAAGTACTAACTACTGGGGAAAATATTTAGGATAGATTAGATGGAGTGTGACATGTTTATAGTGTGTATTTTGTTGGCCAGCTATGTGGGCAGTGAGGTCAATATAGGGTTTCAGAAACATATCTTGTTTACTTCATTGTAGACACGTGCCTGTTTTATGTTGCTATTTACTGGGGGGGGGACGAGGGATTGAGAATTGAGAGAGATGGAGAGAATTTAGGGCAAAAAACTCGTAGCCCTTGTGAACGGGGGGGGGGGGGGTATTTTTTAAAC